AAATTAGAACATAAGTGAAAACCACATCCTGTATCAAGAACCCAAGAAATAGTACGTGATGAATCATTAGATTTAATTGTGTGAATACCTGCGAGAGATGGCTTGATCTTCCCATCCTTGATGGCTTACAGATATTCCGGGCAACTTCTCTTCCAGTATCCTATTTTGTGGCAGTGGTGACATTCTGCCTCCTTAGGGTTTGAGTTGGGCTTAGCAGGACCAACTTTGGTTCCGCTAGTATAGGAACCATCTTGGGGCTTTCCCTTGTGGTGGATCTTTGAAGGAGCCTTCCTCTTTTTGCCCTTCCCTTTCCCAATGGCCATAATAGGAGCAGCAGGTGGAGTGGGAGTTGGTGCAATAGATTTATCCTTGAGGTTGCTCTCAGCAGTCCTGGGAGTTTGCTTATGGTGACTTCTTCTTTGTTCATGTGGTAGGTCATCCTAAATTGGTTGTAGCACAAGGGCAAGGAGTGGAGAATGATGTCGATATCCAAGTCTTCCCCAAAGTTAACTTTTAACTTGCGAAGACGATCAACATACCTTTGCATCTTTTGCAAATGCGAGGTTAGGGATTCTCCAATTCCCATCTTAGCGGTGATCATATTGGTGTTGATCTCGTAGCGCTCTTGCCTTGCGCTTTGGTGGTACCTCTCCAGCAAATCTTGGTGCATTTCATAGGGATACATGTCCTCATAGGACTTTTGGAATTCAAGATTCATAGTGGCCAGCATAATGCAATGGACTTTCGTTGCATCACGCTCATGGGTCTCAAAGACGACCATTTCTTCGGGAGTAGCGATTTCCAGATTGATCTTTTCAAGCTTCTCGTTGAGGACATATTCTTTGTCCTCGTAGCGGCAAATCATGCGGATATATCTTATCCATTCGCTGAAAATTGATCCGTTGAATGTCACCTTTTGACATAGGCTCATTAGCGAGACAACCAGCAGCAACGTTGTTTGCATTTGCGTTAGACATCTGCAAATAGAAAGGAATAAAGTTTGATTAGAATTGAATCCGTAATAAAACACCCAAAAGGAGGAATTAGTGCTAGGATCCAACAACATTATTTACACATTAGAAAAGGGATGCCGTAATCCAACATGCAAATAATTTGGAGGTAAGTGAATGATGATTCACTAATTCTTCACCATGAAAAACATAAAGGCTTAGGTTTTAAATTTATTGAGAATTCCTAGATCTTTTAGATTCATTGAACTTTCCAATGGCATGCTTATATCTTGATATGCACCTCTTGTTTGTGACTGGGATGCCGAGGATCACAAAGTGGGTGTGAATAACCATGCAAATATACATGGTGCCCTCATTGTTACAGTCACCTATTCGATGTGCCGGTTAACCACACACATTCCATCGAACTATGACAAACATTAAGTCACCCTTTGCCACCTTTGCTTAGAACCAATTAGTGTGCCGGTTAACCACATATGCTCCACTAAGTTCTTAGCAAGGGTGCAAAGTGTAATTTAATGGGGTTGCATCAATTCACTTTTGCCTAAAGTCACTAGGATTGGGAATTTTGTAAAAACTTTCAGTTACTTTATATAGTTTCATTACACTTTAATGAAGAGAGGATTGCCCTATCCTACCCGTTCGGCTAACAACCCTCCACCAATCAAAGAAGCGGTGGGTAAGAGTGGATACCCATTAAACGGCCATTTTATAGGCCATAACCTTATACCCCCTTATAGACCAGCTTCGTGAATGAGGCCTACTAACGGTAAGACTAGCATTTTAGTTATACATATATATTAATCTTGTAATAATATAATAGTATAGGGTATATTTTAAACATTTTAAAAATACTAGGGTTTTAATTTCAATTTAAAATTTTCGAAATTTATAACTTTTAAATTAAAATTTTAAATATTAAAAATCTTGATTTAATTATTATCTATATTAAACAATTAATTTTATTTACTAAATCATTAAGGATTATTTTAAATTAAACAATTAATCTTATCCTAATCCCTTATATCCCTATAAATTTCGAAAATATGGGGGGGGGGGATAATTTAAAATCTTTAATTACCATATTTAACAATTAAAGGATAATTACAAGATATGAGATTATCCAAATCCCCAAATTTTAGGAACTTATCTTGGAGAGGAGGCAAATCTCGAAAATCTAGGGTTTGCAAACCCTAGATAGCGAAATCTTGGGCAACAAGGAAAAGGGTTTGAAAACCCTTCTCAAAATTTCGAACACTGGGGTTCAAGAACCCTAAAATCGAAATCCTTGCCTCCTAGGGTTTATTGTCCATAAACCCTAAACTGTCAAATTCATAGAATTGTATAATACTAATTGAAAACAATTCAACCAAAGGCTCTAATACCACTGATGGGTTTTGTAGGAACAATCCTATGTGTGCATGCAACCCTAGATTTGGATCTATGTTTTCTCTATTAGATACACAACTTTATGAACACAAGAAGAACCCTAGCATGCATGTATATATTTCGAAATTTATATAAACTAGAATGGATTACATACCTCTTGTTGTTATGTTGCAATAACAACACTAATCTTCAATCTCTTGTCTTGAAAGCAAGTACCACAAGTGTAGTACCACTCATGGCTCACAAACACCACAAGCAAATGGAGAGGAGAGAGAGAGAGAGAGAGAGAGAGAGAGAGAGAGAGAGAGGAGAGGCTAGAAATCGGCTCTAAGGCTTCTTAGAATCAAGTGGCCGATTTCCCTTAGCCAAGGGGTCTTTATATAGGGTAGAGATTAGGGTTTTAGTCCTTATCCTTATATAGTTGCTTGCCCACCAAGCAATCCATAAGATAAGTCTAGAAACCTATCCTTGGACGAATTCTAGGGCCTAATCTCCTTGAATTCATCCACCTCTCCCTTAGGGCATCCATTGCCCTAATTTGCAACTATCACATAATTACAATTCAGCCCCTGTAGTTTAATTAATTATATTCTATCACAAAATTAACTCTTAATTAATTATTGAACAGTATTAATTAAAAAATATGATTTCTTCCTTAATATATTATTCCTATAATATATTAATAAATCATAATAATCTCTTTCTCTGTTATTTCTCCAGTTAAGTTGCTTTGGTGAAGGCAACCCAAAAGGAGCATGCACAACCGGGTCAAGTACTTACCAAATATGGTTACGGGCTTAGACACTAATCTAACAATAGTAACATTAGGTAAAGTCCAAAACCAAGGGATGATGGGACCTAAACTACACCACTCAAAAGCCAAACCACATTTCCTGCATTTTGGGTGGCTATTGGATTTTCTTCTCCAATATCGAGTACATTTTCTCCAATTGTTTGCCATGAAGCACACCTTGATTGATATCACAACTATCACTGTTGTGAACAACATCATAATCACCATGTGTTTCTTGCATCACTACAAGGTAATGAGAATTGTATTTTGTTATAAGAGTTTGTCTTTAAATCCATATACTTGCTTCAATAAAGATGGATGATGAAGTTGACAAATTTTGTGATGTGTTTATTTAGATTGAGTACATACATCACTTTTTTTTTTCTTTTGGGTTGTGAAACTTGAGAATTTTTTTTGCTTTCAATCTTAAATTTTTAATATTATAGATAATTACTATAATGATATTGGTGTTTTGTAAACATGGAAATAATGCTACGAATTTATATATTGCATGGTTTAGGGTTAAGTGTTGAATGTGTTGACTTGTTGCAACTATTCTCATCTTTCCGAGATGGAAATCTACTAATTAATTCAATCAAAAACTATATTTTCAGATTTCCAAACCAATTAGTGTTTCTTTTGTATGATGGAATGAATTCATCAAGGAATGAAATAAACAACAAGATCAAATGAGAATGATAATGGAATGTATCATTAACATGCTATTATTATGTTTGGTTGGTTGGTTCGAATGAACGAAACGAGTCACTTAAATAAATTGTTTGTTATATATACATAGACAACTAAGATTAATTCACTGATAAATTAATAAAGAAATTTTATTTGATTACTTTTAAGCATGTTCCATTTCATAAAAAAATATATGATATATGTATTTCACATAGTTACAAAAGAATTATTTAGCATCTAATTGAATTTCTAGCAAATAAAAATAAAAATACCATGAAAACTTGACATAAAATTGTTATAAAAGACATATTTAGTTATTTTTCGGAAAATAAAACAAAGATTTAATTGATGTTTTGAATTTCTTTAAAAATATTAGTATAATTGAAGATTATATAAATGAAAGTAATTTATAAAAGGCTCTACCTAATGGAATGATAATCATTTAACGAGAAAGAATCACATTCCATTTCATTTTGTATCAAACAAACATGATTTTCCATTTCTCAGTAATGCTTCATTTCATCCCTAATGGATTACTTTACACCAAAAAACTACCTTAAAGATTGGATATCAATTTTCGTTAAGTCAAATCAATAACTAAAAATAATTCTTTTAGATAACGTCTAGATAAAATTAATGTGAATAGTAGTCTCTCCTCCAAGAGCATACAAATCAAGTCATGCATTTTCCCATCACCCATGACTTTTGTTTGAAGAAGGGCACTTATAATCTAATTTCTTGATACGAGGACGGAAGAGAATGGATATATTTGGTTACTTTTTTTTGAACGACATCTTTGGTTACTTGTATGGATAAAGTGAACTTTTACGAGTTTTAAAATTTTATTATATATAAATACAAGTATACTTTTAACTCTACTTAATAGATTATATTATTATGATTGATGAATTTTATCTTTAAAAACATGTAAAACAAATATAAAAAGCTCATTAAAACCAAATAAAATCATTATAAGAAATATATTATTTACCTAATTTATGAATATAAAATTATAATTTAGTTAAAAGCGTGAAGTTATAAAAAAAAATGTGTCAGTATAAATGTAAGAGAAATATTTTGTATTAGAATTCTTGTGCATTTAATTATTGAGTAAAAAACACACCCATAATGATAAAAGTTAACAAACAGGAAGGAACCACATTTTCAAGAATAATCTACTCTATTATATCACACAAAACAAATAAAATTTATTTATTACAATGGTATTAACCATTCCCCTCTGTTCTCAATTGCATCGTACCAAACACTACATGTATTTTATTAATCACAAGTCATAAAAATATCATGGTAAAACAAGAATCAAGAAACTAGTGATAACATCGAAGAGAGGGATTGAGAAAGAACTTATGCATTGATCCAATTTCTGGCATCTTCTCCAAATAGTTGCTTATTATTTATCATTGTTGACATTAATTACCCTTTAAAGATCAACATTCCAAATAGCACCTTCTCCCTCTCCACAAGAGTTATGAACAAATTTCATCCTCTCAACCGACTTGCATATTCCACTGCATGACCAATCAAATGCAGCTACACAAACATTCCCTAATTGTTTTTTCCATTCGCAATCTGCAGTTCACATACAGTGACCAATAGTCAACAATTTTACATATATACTTACATGCATGGATTTTTACACATGACATAACATCATATAACAATACTAAGAAATATAAGGACTAATGTTGTTGATGGGACAAAAATGAAATTCTTTTAGTGACCTGGAGGAGTTCCACAACACATGGAACGATCATCTATATGTTGAACATCCAATCCAATTAACCATGAGCCTAAAGAGACATCTTCGTTGGCGTACCTATGCAAAATACCCCTGTAAAAGAACAAGAACACTAAATGAACATATCTTTAATGAAGGTAAGAGATGAAACTTGTTATGTGTTATGACTTACGAGTTGATGGAAATATATGTTGCTAAATCCTTGGAGATGGCATATATCTGTCCAGTTGCATGTCTGAAGTACTTGTTCCCTTCTTCCCCGAATTTCCAATATTCCGGTTCATGGTATCTTACCCCTCTGCTTAATTTAGTTTTTAAAACAAACATTTAGGTGTTGTTTTTTCAGCTTAATAGATTTAATACGGAGGGAACTTAACATGGTGAGCTATATAATGAGTTTTTTTTTTTTTTTTTTTTTTTTTTTTTTTTTTTTTTTTTTTTACTTAAAGAACCACTTAATAAAGTAAGTCATGAATATGAGAATTTTTCTCGTTAAGTCATATTTAAAAATTTTCCCTTATATTTTCCTTTCCATTTCCCCATGATTGTTGTCATTTCCCTCTAATAAGTTTTAAAAATCATTTATCTGGAACACACTATATTTAAACAGGGGGTATTATTTTCCTTATAAGTTGTGAAATGAAGAAACATGGACTTGGTGCTCATTGTTCAGGTCTGAAATGATTAATTCCAATGTATGATAAAATATGCATAATTTCCATTCCAACACAAACAAAAATAATCAAACTATAGAAATGATGAAAGAAAGGAAACCGACTTTTGAAAGAGCACGGGTCCCGACTTCATGCAACCAAGATAAGTTCTTGGTTTTGATCTATAGCGTGCAAGTTCAGTCACTAGCATACCCAAATTGACATGTACATCATCATCCACCTTCACATAAAATTCTGCATCCCAAATAGAGACAGCTGTCGAAAAATATAATTGTGTCTTTGTGGAGAGCTCATGGTACCCCTCCACATGATTCAACCTCAAAAAATCCTGATATTTTTCCTCCTCCATGTCAATGGCTTGATCAAGAACACCTCCAGGTGTTGCACTGTGTCCTATCACAAACCTTATTATGATCCCCTTTTCTTTTGCTAATTTATTTAGTTTTGCTCCTGCATAGTGTGAATATGTTATTTTAGCTATTTTCTATTTTGCTAAATAGTAAAATGGGTATACCCTATAATGGTCCCACAACCAACATGGGGTAGGTCCCTACCAATGGGTCCCATAACTTATGGTTCTCATTTACTTACAGTTTTGGCAATCATTTGGAATGGTATACTGAATAGTAAAAAACAAATTTAGGTAAGGTAATGTGAATAAAAGGTGAACCAGTAGGCATCCATGTTTCTCGAAGGGAGTCTCGACGTTTCTTGCTGCTAAAAGCTGTATTAATACCAATGACAACAAAAGCTTTTTGTAGAGATGTCTTGTTAGATGCCTCCATTCTTTCTGAAATAAATTTAGGCCCGAGTAGACTTACACGTGCTACTTCAAGTTCCATCTCTAATGTGGATATTGTTTTGTCCAATGATCTAGATAAATACACAAAAAGAAAGTGGATCTTTGAGTAATATTCTACATATGTAAATACTAGTGCTACCGTAGGTCAAGACAAAAAGAACAATATAGTATTGTATAAAACTTTTTTTGATGTTTCATTGGACAAGACAGAAAAAACTCAATTCTTTAGTACCACCTGAAAATACGGAATTGAGATTTGCTTTTGGTCTCTCAAAAATTCCCCTAGGAAATCTCATGTCCTTTATAAGAAACAAATCTAGCCATGGACTTACTGAATGGCTTGATGAGTCTTGGTGACTTCTCCCATGATATCGCCTGAATTATCTTCAACTAATTTCTGGTAGAAAGAAACTATTCGTTGTTGATTAGAAATAAATTTGGATTTGATAAAAATGAAGATTCAAGTTATGAGTACTTACACGCTTTCGATCACATTCTTTAGATGATAGTAAACTCATCTTTTGTTCATGATTCTTGAAATGAACTTCGTTAAGTATGGGTGCATAGGGCCATGTGTTTCTAGTGAAAAGTGTTCCGGCAAGAAAACTGGCGATGCATAACGTCAAAGTGATCTTCCCTGGAACTGACTTTCCCCTCATTTTCAACATTTATTCTTGTATTTTTTTTCTGGAAAAAAAATGAGAAAATTATGAGGTGTACCAATGTTTCCGCAGAGGGACATGATATAAGGCTTCATTTGTTACGTGTATATGCCAAAACAAAACATGTTGTACTATGGTTGGATGCGCTGAACTTGGATCGGAAGCAATGTGAATGAGATAAAAATTGCAATATTTTTTTCACATTAAAAAATGTTGGAACAAGGTCACACACTCAATCTTTCATGTGTGCAAAAGATGGAATGCATTCTTCATCTTTATTTGAAAATAACCATAGAAAAAGCTTGTCTAGTCTCGTCCAATACAATCACATCCATTCTCGGCTAATAAACGAATCCTTGAGATATGTTTGTAACATAGGAAATAAATAGATTGGATAACCTTTCTAGGAATCTTTTTAATTATCAGGATGGGCATTTATGTATTTTGCACACACGAGATATCAAGAGTGAGTCATTGTCCCACCTTTTTGGATGATAACATTTTATCCCATTGACATATGGATGGTCCTGTCTAATCATGTCATATATTGTGTAAAACATAAGCTAACATTACAAAACATATTATTATAAAGATGCATATATATAGAGAGATATGTGGTATCTTTGTTGATGGTGAAGGTACCTTTTGTTAGGCCGAATGTTTAAAAGGGGGTGATCATTGGTTGACTGAGCAAGAAAATTGGAAACTAGTAAGTAGTACGCATGTGGTTGACGTATATAGCAAATAGGGAAGAAGCTAGTAAATTGTTGATATATTTGCTACAAGTAGAAAACTAGAAGTAACATAGAGATATTATTAGACGAGGTATGTGGGCAGGCGGCAAGGGGTGTGTGGTTTTTTAATCATGTGGGATTCATGGTTCAACCAACCAAAGAAACTACCTTGAGTTAGGATTCAAATAAGACCAACCCACCCTAAGTTAAGTTATCATTGTACATGACGCAACCACTTCCTCTATCTTTCTTTCATTATACACTTACCTCCTGTCCCAGCAAAAACATTTGTAAAAAATGCTTTTTTCGACTAAATTGGTTTGGGCCTCATTGTTTTTTTTGGTTTTTATTCTTCCATCACCCTTCTTCGATTTAGGTTTATGTTACTTCTCTCAAATTAAATGGAAATGTGTAGAGCTACATTACACTACATTTACTTTTTTTACATAACTGAAAATGTGGAATAATATTATTCAGTATCTTGTATATGAAAACACAAAATACTTTTGCATTCTTCTATACAACTTAAATTAAAATAATATTCACATACATGAGGTTTGCTTAATAGAGTAACTTTTTAAAATAATAATTTTTTGTGCTCACCATAAATTAAGTTTATTATATAATAAAATACATACAAACATGATATACTAAACTTCTAGAGAAAAGAATGTAAATTGTAATTTTTGTGCAAACTTAAATGAATTTAAGTAAAAGTTCCAAAATAATCTTATTTTGAAAAGGAAAAATTGTATATATGTACAACAAAACTAGGTATGAGATTTGGTCATTTGGATTAGGTTTCAATCCAAAACCGGTTTTGCTAAAAAGAATTTAATTTAATCTTATTTAATTGAGTTTGACTGGATTACATTTAACTGAATTTAACCTAAGTGGCAGTGGGACACCATTTCGTGCCAATTATAGGGGATGTAATTCTTTCTAAGCACACTATTAAACTTTGTTGGACCTCATTTATTTAGAAGAGTCGAAGTAGATGTACTAAGGTTATGTTTGCATCCTTTTGAGCCCCTCACAATTTCTGTTAATTATCTCTAATATTTATTAATAGAGAAACCTAAATTCTAAAATGAAGAAATATGGGCTCGTTTTGTTAACATCAACCACCGTCAAACCACATCACCCTTGGCTAAAGTTTTGGTCAAAACAGGTTTTGCCCATCAATCTTTATTATGTCTATTTGTAACTTATGGTATTACCTTGAAACCCTTAATCTCCTCTATACATCATCCGCCACCGTCAAATTACATCTCCTATGTATCTTTTCATTCTCTCTTGAGTCTTCAGTGACCATTTGTTACATCGTACGTCTTTAATACAACCTTCAAGATGGTAACAGACCATCCATTCCCCAATTAAACCACATGTACTCACCTAAATCTCTCTTTTCCTTATCTGCCTCCTTCACAAATTTTTCATTGCTCAATTGAACAATCACTATCGCTAATGATCTAATAGGTAACACCTTTGGAAACCCCTAGCCGGAGACATCGTTGTTGAGGACTTACTCCCTTCCCTTACCATGTTGATGACTTGTACCCTCGTCTGTAACATCCTTGCTAAGGCCCATTTGTAAACCATTTTCAATAAAACTATTAATTGCTAATCATTAAGAAATTTCAAGTTTAACGTGGAATGGTTTAATGGTCCCAAAAGTTTAATTGTAAGGAGTGAGGTTGTTCATTAGGAATCATAAACAAGGTTTAAGTTCTCTAGAAGTTGGGATCCTCTAAAATCCATGATAACTCCTATGCAACAGCCTCTCAATCTGAACATACATCTAAAATAAGTTAGACAATGAAATGTATAATGAGCTACCCAAGGATCACCTCATTTTCAGCAAGGAATAACAATTCCAATACTCAAACTGATCCTTCAAAAATTCATAATTTATATTTTGAAACATGCAAATATATATATATATATATATATATATATATATATATATATATATATATATATATATATATATATATATATATATATATTCTTTTGTTCAAACAAGACTAAAAAATATAAAAAATTTCACGCTAACTCAATGCCATGCAAGCATTTATTCCTAACCTCACGTCAATTTCAAAGTCCAACTCACAAATTTTGATAGTAAAATATGAAGAACATATGAAAGACAAAATGTTAAAATTGCCTTTACATTCACAAACAAGGTACTAGAGGTCATCCAACCTAAGCTATATGAGGGACAACGAGCATCTACTCATGCATGTGAGGATTATCTAGAAATTTACTCACAACAACAACAATAATTAATGTTCATTTAGGTACTAGTTACACCCATCCTAATGTGTTTATATATATATATATATATATATATATATATATATATATATATATATATATATATATATATATATATATATATATATCAAGTAAAAACAAAGAAAAATATATTCATATTTTTTTATAATGTTAATAGTCTTTATAATAATATCATTTTTTTAAATGTTAGTACTCATTATTATATTAAAATTATATATATATATATATATATATATATATATATAATATATATATATATATATATATATATATATATATATATATATATATAAATTCCTTGTTCCCTTAGGAACAGTTCCATGTTGTTATAGGTGGACTTTTTTATTTTTGAAATTTTGTTTTGTTTCATGACCGATAAACAATTTTTTTTATAACCAGGGCCTTCTGTTCTTGGTTTCAGAGTTTATGTTGTACACGTGTTCTCTTGGGGCAACCCGCTTTCTACGTGTTTCACAATGCATCATCGTCTCATGCATCCTCACTTGTCCTTGATATTTGTCGCCGTCGTCCCTCTCATTTGCTTCGTCTCTGTTCATCTTCCTCCACGTAATTGAGGGTTTGTCGATTCATTCTTTTTACAGTTATTCACTTCCACTTACAGCCTTCTTGGCTACAAACCTCTTCAATCTCCTGGTAAGTTTTAATTTTCTTTTTATGGTTCATTACACCTCATGGAATCATGAAGCGCAATAGAAAATCAATTTCATTTTTCTAGAATCTATAAAGCATGTCAATTTCTTCGGTTCGTCATTGTTGTTCTACCCTCATGACGATACTTTGGTTCCATTTTCAAAACTGATTTCAATCTCTTCTACTTACTCAATGCAACTTACTTGCGTTGAATAATTGCTTTTATTTGATAAAATTAAGTAAATGAGAAAAATATGTCGATTACTTATGTATGTTGTTGCGTACCAAGTTTTTGAGGAAATACCTAACAACAAGGAAGAGTGAAAGTCCTCCAAACAGCCTAATGTAACTATTTGAAGATCATAAATTGAGGTTTAAAATGTAATTTGGATCAATAACTTCATTTCATCTGATTTACTATCCTCCTAAAAAGGTTTTTACTATATTTCTCTAATGTACTAGCTTTGCATGTTTAAAAACACCAACTATCATTTACGGTTGTCACTGCACTCAAATAGCCACATCTTTGGCAAAAAACCACCACCATGAAGATCTTTGGTAATTTTGGTCCTCCTCTCCTCCTCCTCCTCCTCCTCCTCCCCCCCCCCCCTATGCCCCTCTCTCTAGTTTTAGATCACAAATGCACTAACAAAATTCAAACTAATAACCTTTTATTTGGTGATACAACTATTGCAGTTAATCTTGAGATCAATTTCACAAAGAACATCAACATGGGTTCATTTTGCACCAAGCTCATTCCATGTCTGCTTTCACCACAGAAAGCTTCAATTCTCGAGGATCCATATCGTGGCATAATAACATAAGTTGGTGTTGGTATATTTATTGACCTTGAATAATTATTATAATTTTCAAACTTTATCTGATTCAAACACTTGATTTATTTTCAAAGAGATGGTAGAATTATGTATTTCTATTTCGGTCATCACCCACCAGCTTTGAATTTTCTATTTATTAGTTTATTACATATTTACCCTTTATTCCTTTAGTATAATATAATTAGTTTTAATGATGTGAATTCCATGTTGTTTAAAAAGGCAACAGATCAAGTACAAGGGCTTATAAATAGACATTGTTATATATGGGACGTTCATATCTGTTTCACTTATAGTGGTGAAATTAATAGGATTAGCTCTAAAAAAGGTTTGATTTATATGCTTCATTGCCTCATAATTCTTACATGAATTTAAAAAAAAAAAAAAAAAAAAAAAAAAAAAAAAAAAAAAAAAAAAGAATAAATACTTTCCTCTTAAACTGATTTCATTATTTGATCATGTAGAATACTTTTTATTTTTTTTTCTAGGCTTTTACAAGGCTCAAGCTCGAGACACCCCATTTGTGTGTGTGCGCTTCGATTTCGTTTGGTACTTGAAGGTATGTTCTTTTACCCTGATTTTTGTTCTCTAAATGCCATTCTAACGCTTTTTGCTGTTATATTAAGCCCAAAAAACATAAATTCGTTCAACTTACTTCATTTACAAATGTAGACCTCTAACATATTCAATCTAACTGCTTGACCCTGCTATGTTTCACCATATATATTTTTTTCAGATTATTCTCTCCAACGAAAATAATGAAATTCAAAAATGGAATAATAAAAAAATCCAAAGTTACATGTTAGTTACCGAGATTCCTAAGTATCCATATGTATAACATTATGTGTTATGTAATTTCAATACCATATATTAATTTGAACGTGTTGTTAGATCACACACTAATAACTTTATGCGATTTGTAGAGGCATCAGGCATAAAAAGGAAATAGAAGTGAATTACACATCCATGGAGTAAGTTACCTTAGCATCTTCTTTTGTTAGCTTTGATTTGGTCCATATGAAAAATCATTTTTGGAGCATTCACTTATTTGATTTCACGAAATTGGGATAATGGTGTTGCTTTTCAGTTGCAGTCACCTATTTTCATTGTTAATCTGTAACACCGTAAATTTTCAAGCAAAATTTTCATTTTAAAATCACATAATTCTCATAAGACCTTTCACAAAAATCCATTTATTTAATTTACAAAACACAACTCCATAAATGTTTGATTAGTAACCCAGGATCCTCAAAACATAACTCTTTCTCTGGTGTACAATCAAGTCGGCGCCTTCCCGCGATCTTGAAGAGAACTGGAAACATATCACATAACATAGTAAGCACGAACCTTAGTGAGTTCCCAAAAATACCACACATATCTCATTAACCTCTAATTGCTATACTCAGATAAGTTCCTCCGGTCAATGTGTCTCAGTAAGACTCTCCGATCAATGTGTCTCACTAGAATGATGCACAAATCAAAAGAGTGAGAAAGCTTTGAGCTTTATACCTCAACATGAAGCT